ACCCCGGGACCCCCACTGGAGCTGTGCCCCTCCCAGGGTCCGCTGTTCATGCCCACCCTGCCCAGGAGACCCCGCCAAGCCCCAGGGCCAGTTCTCCTGGTCCCCAAAGCTGTGCCTGCCCCCGGACCCATGCCCCAGCAGCCTCCCCGCCCCTCCTCCCCTCACGCCGGCCCCTCCCCACAGGTGAGCACCTGCGGATCTGCCCCCAGGGCTACACCTGCTGCACCAGCCACATGGAGGAGAACCTGGCCAACCGCAGCCGGGCTGAACTGGAGACAGCCCTCCTGGACAGCGGCCGCGCCCTGCAGGCCACACTCACCACCCAGCTGCAGAACTTCGATGGTGAGCAGGCCACTGGGGTTTGGGGACCACCAGACGCTGACACGGTGGGGAGCTGGGCACGAGGGCACCTCTGCCGGTGAGGCAGGGTCACAGGATGGGTGGGGTTATTAGCGCTCTGAGGCTGGGAGCTGAGATTTGGGGTGTCCCGGTAGCAGAAAGCTGCCCACATGCAGGGGCCCAAGCAGGGGACCCGTGAGTATGGGGTGGTCTGCAGGCGACTTTGTCCACCCCGTGGTGTGCACGGCAATACACGTGCACGTTTGGGGAGATCAGGCCCATCCCTCCGTCGGCCCTTCAGAGGGTCCCTCTTGCTCTCAAGGTGGCTCCTTATCCCTAGAGGCAGGAACAGGCCTTGCACTGGCCACCAGGTGGCCCGGAGCCAGGAACCGCAGCGTGAGGGCTGAGCTCCAGGCGGGGCACTGAGGATGGGGCTTCGGAGGGCCGGGTCTGCGCTGGTGCGGGGGCAGGAGGAGTTTGGGGCCCCGGGCGTGGCCCTCACATCTCCGGGGCAGCTGCTGTGTGTGGCATTCGTGGGTCTCACACCCGGAGTCTCACACCGTGTCTGGGCAGAGAGCGAACGCCCTGGACAGTGAAGAGTGGGCTGGCGTAACGACGTCCACGGTGGCCACCCCAGGGGGACGGTGTGGGCGCTGGGGTGGGGGGCCCCCAGGAAGTGACCTCTGAGCTGAGACAGGAGGGAGAGTGTGAGCCTGCAGCTGGCAGACAGCCCTGAGTGGCTTTGAGGCCCAGCCTGGAAACACCTGTAGCAGTGGCTGTCCTTGGGGGCCTGTGACCTCAGCCCCCCGCCTCCTTCCCACCATCCGACAGCCTGGCCAGGAGCTGCCCGGCTCCCACCTGGGGTGCTGCACAGGGTGTCCTGAGCCCTACAGCCCAGGGCCTTGGGTGGGGTAGATGTGGAGGAGCCTGAAAACCCCTGGGGGCCCAGGGTCCAGGGGCCTGTGCGGGGAGGGTGGCCACGGCTCTGGGGGCCGAGTCCGAGTGCAGGGGCCGTGTGGTTACAGTCTGCAGTCTTGCTGCTAAAGGGGGTGGGTGCTGTCCGGGACCCCGTTCTGGGCATACGGGGTGCAGGGTATCTCCCCGGAACCACGCCCACGCCCTGTCTCCCGGAAGGCTGCAGCACATCTGTCTGGGGCTCTGGGCAGGTCCCAAGGGCTACAGGAGATCCAACCCGGACCCTCAGGCAGGCCAGCTTCTGGGAGGCATGAGAGGGAGGGCCGGACACGGGGCTGGGGGGTGGGGGAGGCAACGCAGGGAGCAGGAAGGAGGCGGCCCCACCTCCTGACTCAGAGGACCCTCCTGCCCCCCTTGCAGGTGATCCCAATGAGTCCCTGAGGGCACCCTGAGCCTGCCCCCAGCTCAGAAGTGTCCATTGGAGGCCCTGAGACCCGAGAGGGGACCCCCACCCAGGCTTTTGCACCCCAGGCCACGGAGGGGGGAGGTGGGGGGGAGGTCTTAGAAGTCCTAGGGGCATCGGGGGTCTGGGCCAGAGCCCCCTGAATCCCGGCCTGGCCTCCACAGCGAAGGGGGTGTGCGGGTGGGGGGGACAGGAGGCCCCGGGAG